GTGTCATGATCAAGTCAACAAGACCGGAGGCGGGAGGGGCCGCAGGTGGCCGGCACGACAAGAACCTGCACCTAGGCGTACCACCGCATCCCCTGCTCCACTACTAGGATTCTACACAGCATGAAAATGGGATGCGGCACGAATCCTAACTGACGCGGCGTCAGATGGCAACAGGGGCCCGAATGTTGGTATTAGTTATGGGTGAGCATTCCCGATAACGCCTGCCGGATCCCTATCTAGCCCCTGTGTTGGTCCAGCACAGCTACCAAAAATGACATACAGTAGGTGGGCTAACTCATGAAATGTCAACCGAAATTCCGAAATGCGTTTTCGTTTCGAAAAGATTAACTAAGTAGGGTTGTGAAACTAGTCAGCCTGCAACATAATTTTATAATATTTCCGTTACTTTAGGATGCCGGCTTTCGGCTGCATGCAAAAACTACATTATGTAAAAAATGACTATTTAAATTGTATGCATTTTTACCCATTGATTTTCGAGGTCCCTAAATGTCCACTTATACTTCATGGAAAAAATGCATAAGAATATTCATTCTCTTGCTTATTCGGTAGACAATTACGTCTTCTTCTAACTTGATGCTCGAAGGAGGGACATAATTTGGTTGTAAAAAGTTTGTAATTGTGGGACTTTTAAATACCCTGAAATGACCGTTCATAAATCGTCATGTCCCTGCATTTACCAATGTGGCCTGTGAAGTTAACAATATGGGTAAAATCCACTGTTAAATTTTGTGAACCTTATATGGTCCCCCTTTATTACCGTAGAGAAATGTGTGGTTTTCCGTACTCGGACAATATACGGCTTGTAGATTGGAAACCCTGAATCCAAGTGTAACGGTAGAGCGGGTTCAAAATTATTCGGGAATCGGAAAAGTTTTGAAAACCGAATTATACACTTCCTTCGAGTATAAGAGTGGAAGAAGACGTAATTATCTACTGAATGAGCGAAAGAATGAATATTTTTATGCATGTTTTCCATGAAATATAACTGGACTTTTAGGGGCGTCGAAAATCAATGAGAAAATTCGCGCTACTTAAGTAGTCATTTTTTACAGAGTGTAGTTTTTGCATGCAGCCGGAAGGAAGCTTCTTCGAAAGTAGGCACCCTGAGGTGTCTTAATTATTATAGAATTATGCTGCAAGATTATTAGTTTTTCTACCCTACTTAATTAATATTTTCGAAACGAAAACGCATTTCGGAATTTCGGTTGACACCTACTGTACATAGTAAGCGTACTTGTGGCGTCACAATAATCACGGTTGAGCCGCCTTAGCAGGAAAAGTTGAAAGACGCCGGTATGATTTGTGTATTCAGAATAAAGCTCAGCGGTGGTCAGAGCTCTTGACGCCTGGCCGGCTCACGGCCTGCGTACGAGTCTCCCCCTCAGCGTGACGTGAGTGTGAATGATAAGTGTAATGTGATGAGTTGATTGGCTGATTGCGGAGTTTATGGGCGCTTGGGATTGGCTGTTCCAAATGCAACATGTGCGCATGTGATCACATGACTTCTAGCTCGGCGTAGATGTCAGGGGCGATAGGCGCGAGGTGCCACAGATGTTATAAATAGGGCAAAACTCTTAGGTCAGGGCCTTAACCTTGAGCCAATAGTGCAATACAGCCCACCAACTGTGCCAGTATTGGGTCGCGTCCCTCCCTTTCCTCGACGATCTTAGTGCTCTTCACACGCAGCGCCATTTATGATCTGTCTTCAGACATCTAGTGCAAAACTGACAAAACGCCAGGCGTTCAACACGCTTTACACTCCACCCCAGCTATTCACTCGAGACCAGACTAAACCGCCTTTCACACCGGTTTGTCTGACCCAAAATAGTCTGAAATACGGTGAAGGCTGTTACAAAAAAAGTGCACACACTGACAAGATCACGCCACCGCAGCCTTTGTCTGCAGTCCTGTCTGCAATTGTGTGTATGTTGCAGCACCAGCCTTCGGCGTCGGCTCGAGTAAATCGTCCCCCATAGCGTGTCTCGTTTCTAATCTGGTAACTGTTCGACTGCAGTGGCAGGCAGTTTTACTCGATACCCGGGCATTCTGCATTGTCTAATGATTGAAAGCGATTTACATTATAACAGACATTAGCAGACCGAAAAGAGGGGACGAGAACCAGAATGAAACTGCTACTCTTCTCCCACCCTACTCGAGTTTGATGTCTTGCCGCCTCAGTTACCTGTCTTGTCGACCGCCATCAGTGCATCAACCACTTTATTTGCTTCGGAACTCAAACAGGCCATGGTGACTCAATCCCATCACGAAGGTTCCTGCTGCGAAGCGAACCCGCAGTGTCCCAGGTGAGCTGATCTGCCACCACTCAGCTGACTTCAGCTCGGACACGCGGGCGTCTAGACAAGCACAGGCATCCATGCCTCATTTGAAAATGTAGCGCCTCAAACGGCAGTAAGCCTTCTGCATTTTGCCGAGCTAGGAGTCGTGCGATTACTTCTCCTGGGGGCCAGAACGTGAGCACATTCAGCCCCGAGGATACCCAATCACAGGCGCCCACAAAGTCCACTCTCGCCCAATCAAATATCCAGACTGACACTGATTGACTCTCACGTGACGCTTATTCACGCACGCCCACCTCACCCTAGCGCGCGGACGTTCACGGACCCCGCGTCGGGGACTCTCACAGCCATCGGGTTTCCGTACAGCAAATACTGCGGCAACGGTATCGAGAAGGGCCCCACTTACCTGTCAGTAGGCTGGGGATCGTGCCATACGTGATTTATGGCAAAGGGAGTTTTATGGGTGGGGCAGCACGCTAGACAGTAAGCTGGCAAAATGAAAGAAAACACAAAAACTGCCCGGATTTATGCCGAAAGTCTTATCCTACACTACCGTACGACAACGGAAATGAGAGTAGTAATTAAACAATAAACAAAAAATAAAGTTCACAAAATAACAAATTTTGAGTTAAGGTGTGAGGTCGTGGGAAGTAGTCGTTGTTGGCAATGTAGTTTCTGTAACAGCCTGCAAATGCATGCCAAGATATAACCCCATATGACAAGGTCCACAGTCTACTGAAAGGTAAGTGGGGCCCTTCTATATACCGTTGCCCAAATTACTTCGAAGATGAGACATACTTTTGTGTATACAGCCTATGTGCCTTTTCAGAGTTCCCAGACGCGCGAAGTCATTGCCACAAGTCATACATATATACTCCCGCAGTTCTGAAACAAAAGGAAAAATCACTTACCATTAAGCAAAAACCAGCTCCATCAGTTGGCTCGAAATTTCATATGTTGTGGGAGCCAGGTCGTGAATGCGGCCCACTGGACAGACTGCATTCGCCAAGTCAACTTGCCTACAGTTGTATGAAAAAAACGCGGTTTCTCTAGCTTTTAGTTCGGCAGGTACGAGAGAACTCGTCGAGGGCGGATGAAAACCAGTTACCGAGAGCCTGGAGAGCAGTTGTAGGACTTAACATGATCAGCTCCCATGGGGAGGGGGCGAGGGCGATCGTGAGTTTTCATCATCCACAGCAGAAACACTGGGACAGGTGGACCAGCCAGCCGATGCTCCGGACAGGTGGCATTGCTGTCAACTGTCCATGTTGCAAAAATGATCTCACAAAGTTGTACGCGACTTTTGAGGCTTGTTTTGTTTTTATTTCGATCGAGATTATGTGAAGGGGTTCCTGAGGGCATTAGGGCGATGACTCGTATGCACTACCGAAAACAGCATGTCAAGGGCACCCAGACATCCAGCCAACTGGCAAAACCCGAAAAAAACGTTTCTAGCGAGCTTGTCTACTGCCTCTTCGTCAACTCTCAGCGGCAGATAATCACCGATCTTCGTGAGTGGGGCACTCAGAGCGCCACCGTACGACAACAGAAATGAGAGTAGTAATCACACAATAAACAAAAAATAAATTTCACAAAAGAAACAGATTTTGAGTTAAGTTGTCAGGTCGTGGGAAGTAATCGTTGTTGGCAGTGTAATTGCTGCAACAGCCGGGAAAATGTATGCCAAGATAAAACCCCATAAGACATGACAGTTAATTGGGATCCTTTTCTATACCGTTGCTGCGATTTTCCCCAGACGCCACAAACACACCACACACTGACTAATGCAAATCACTCCAGTAGACACAGACAGTCTCGGCCAGATAGGGGATAAAACTGTCTCGCTTTCTCCTCCCCCTGTCCCCTCCCCTCTCTCTCAGGCATGACTTTGCTCACTTCCCAGACTGAAGTGAAAAGTCCAAACGGAGGAGAAACTGCGTGAACGAGAAAAGTACGAACAGTAGCGTTATCAACAGTGTGGGCGGCTACTACCAGCAGGAAGTAGCCAGGATAGTAGCAGCGGTGGGAGGAAGGTGGTATATGAGTTTTTGCTTTGAACATCGACAGAAAACACGTATGTCGTATCGGTAGTTATGGAACAAGATACTGATGGCAGAATATAGAAGGTTGAAAATCGGATACTGGGAAGGGCGTCCGCGTACTGGCATTGATGGAGGGACTGTTCTAGGAAACATTGTCTAGACTCGATGGGCTGAGGTCGTTCGATGACATCCATCTCAATTCATGACAGGGTGTCGGGAACCGCCTACTCACGGACAGGATGGGCGAAGTCGAATGGGAATTTCGTGATGATGGAGCTAAGCCCTGTCTAGCAGTTGCGTTTCGATCACGTAGGGGTCATGTTCAGGACAAATTTATTCCAACTTCCATCTGAAAACAGTGTTTCATCAGAAGAACGGCAGCGGTAGGGTGTAGGACCCCAGTCAGCTTTAGCTAACTGATGTCATACGTTGAATGGTGGTAGAGGGAGCTTTAGGGGTGGGGCAACACGCAGAACGAAAAGCAGGCGGAATGGAAGAAGACGCAGAAAATAAATTTCCCCCGAAAGTCTTATCGTATGCTGTCATATGGCGAAGAAAGTGAGCGCGGTAGTTTAAAACATAGACAAAAACAATTTTCAAAAAATGAAGAATCTTGGATAGACCGCCACTGGCAAGTTTACATTCGGTCAGAAAGCCCAGGAAATTTCAACCAATAGGAAAGGTGAATAAAAAGTGATGCTTGCAGTCACACAAAATTTTAGTGTACATGTTGGTGTAGCCAGCCGCATAGAGTCCCACATCCTACTCTTACCCAGAAGAAGTTCTGTCAATCTTTGAAGTACATCTGTTACGGCGGCTAAAGCCGTAGAGTGACCTTGCCAACTACGACCTTCAGGTCCGGTTTCGAATAAAGAGCGGAGGTGCTTGAGGTCAGTTGAGGGAATGCTGTATTCCGTACAGAAAGAGTGGAGAACCACCTAGATGGCCGCCGGACGAGGGAACACGCCCGGCGCCGCAAGTGCGGCATCCCGAGAAGCAGTGGGAAATGCACCCTGAGCACCCATGAGTCGGCCTTGAAGATGATTGGCCGGTTTAGACAGCCGTGATTGGCCGATAATCAGACTGCCGCGTACAAGTACTTGCGAGAGGCGCAGCGTTGCAACGGGCGCATCGAGAAGGGCCAGTGCAAATTCACATCGTCGACACATGCCACGGCCTCACTAGAGAGCACTTTTGTCCGAGACAGTGGCTCCGGCTTCTGTGGCGCCCAAGGTACAAACACTACGCAGCCACCACATGACTATCGAACACAACCGTCTAAACACTCTGCCATCTTGGAAGGTAGCAAACCCGACACCGAACCGAGGGCCGACAGTTCAATCGCGAGTGGGTGGTCATCTGTCTGCCTGCCATGGATTTCCTGTTTAACAAAATTAGATTTAATTTGTTAAGTGCTTAAAAAGTGCCGTTGGGATCAGGACTCCGATGAAAGAGCCTAATTGTCGACGCAGCGGCGTTAGCAGGGCTTTTTAACTCATCCGATTTCTGTCAAGAAATGTGGGTGCGTCATTTCGCGCGTTCATTTAACTCCACAAATAATTCTGCACAGCGGCGTTGGAAGGGACAACGTCAAGTTTAATCAGAGCACAGTCCGTCTGCTGGTTTCATCTCTTCAGGTCCACGGACACTTGCCAACACGTCCAAAACCCTTGTCAACTGAGTTTTACAGGATACTGTCTGCTTTATCTACCTTCGACAACTAGCCCACGGTTAGGGATTTTCGCCTGATGACTGAGTTACTGGCATAGGTTATATCGGTTGCGACATGAAATGTGGAAAGTCAGTTTGAGGCGGTGTCCAAGGATCGGGCCAGAGCGAGCGGGCAGTTTTGTGCTTGAACTCTGTCCTTAAGCAATCGAAAGCTGTCAATCAGCAGTGAATCACTGCTCAAAGGAGGAATCTCTGGTGGTGTCGCAACAAGAACTGAGTATATGCGCGGGTCGAGAAAATGCTATTTGTTGTTTAACAAATTTGTCAGCGTTTTCACACTCTCGCTTTACTGGCAGACGTGTGCATTCCATCTAACAATATTTCGAGTATTTTTTTATCACCTGACTGCCCTCTGTGCCGAACTTTTGGTCAGATGTGGTTGTATAGCCCCACCTAGAGTAAACAAACCCCAGTCACCTGTAATAAGGGAACAGTGGCAGTAGGGGGTTTTACAGGTGGGACTGGGGAACGCACAGGCGACGAGGTCAAGTAGTTGTATGCACAAGATAAGTTATTGGGAATGCGCGGTTGTAAGTTGGGTGGTTGAGAAATAGTTGCCCTAGCCCCTATCCCTTACCCCAACACTAACCCCTAACTCTAACCCTTAACCCTGACCCATAGCCATAAGCCCTAACCCTAACACCCAACCATAACTCATAACCCTAACCTTAACCCCTAACCCCAACAGTGTTGTATCCATCAGGTGGGACTACATAACCACATCTTACCGAACTTTTTTTAAAAAATAAGCTTTCCTCTTATTGAAGAATAACTTGCGGAGAATGCAGAACGATGGACCGACGTAGATATTTCAGCAGTGCCGACAGCTCGGGACGGCACAGGCCAGAGAATATCATCCCGCCGGGGGAGGGCTGACTAAAGGCCCTACCGAACAACAACTGCCTTTAAAAATATTGTAGGCTGTTACCCCTAGTTTCCCCTTGTTCCGCGCATATGCTTAACCCTTACCGTATGCGAATTTAAAATCACCTTTGAAGTTTTTGAATACCACGCGGTTTGCCGACGATAGGCAGGAAGCAGGAAAGGAGGTGCATTCCGCAATATCTCCCTAATTCCTCGGGTGGTTTGACTAAACCCTAGCCGCAGACATCCCATGCATTACTTCAAATCGACCTGCTGATCTTGAGACATTAGGTAGTCCACTAAGGACCTTCAGTCTGGAGGAGCGCGACGAATCTTGCATGATTTGAGCCGTAACCAGGAGGACCTGCTACATCCTACTAGCTTACACAGACATGACGGATCCGGTAGGACTGCTGGGGTGCACTCACGGTCAGCTGAAAATTCATCGTACACGCGCATCACCCTGTTTAGGTAGTGAATTATCAGGTGCCTGGAGGATTTAGAATTAAAATCTCGACCAGACGTGTGTGTGTAGCTATCTTAAGGTCACCTGAACACGCAACCACAACAGACGGCACGCACGCACACATGTGCGACCCTCGCAAGCAACGAGGCCTATCGCTGCCTCGCAAGGTGGACGTGGCCATGGATTGCACATGAAGTTATTTATAATGATGCAGATTTATGCAGTATCTACTTCAATTCAGGCCTCCATCATCCCCCCGGGCATCTATGGCGAGGGTGGGCGCGGCTGGCGATTTTTCGCACCCGTTTCAGCATGGCCCTAGTTACTATCTGTGTTGAAGAACACCAAAGTAGGATAAGTGAACGAACAATGAGTGCTTTCAGTTTGTGTAAATACGACTGAAAATGGTCACGTGATGGTTCATTTTATGGGGGTACCCCTTGTGCCTGCGTATGGAGGGGCAGGTCGTGCGTGTGGCCCGCGCAGACCGATCCAATCAGTCACTCGCCCGTTCCGATGTGCCGAGGCGCCAGACTACCTTGCCTTTACCTACCGGTTCATCATTCTTGAGCTTACTGGTTGTTTAACTGAATGGAAGGAACACAACGCAACGCCACGCGCTCGGTATCTGTTGGATTGTTAGGTCGTTTGACATTTGATCGTTAATTCCTTCATAACGCTGGTCTTCTCCTGACATCCATAGTCTGGGATTGACAGTTCTGTCCTTAGCGCTCGCGACAGTGGTGACCTTTTGACGTTCGCACTTATACCTTTAGTCTGTTGACTTTCCGCTCGCATACAGTCCGTTTACCTTGTTTTTTTCCCACCATCGTGACCTCTATGGATTCCAACGATCCCACTACTTCTCTCAGCGGACTTGTTTCGTCTCTACCAGACTTTAGACAACATGCGCCAGAACTTTAGTTTTTTTCCGTATCGAGGCGACATTTTACTCCGCCAAGATCACACGAGAAACAGACAAATATTACAAGTTGGTCGAGGCCCTTCCTCCTACCATTCTTTCCCAAGTGCAGACATTTATGCGACATCCCCCGACTGATGCTCCCTACACTAAGTTAAAGACTGAACTCCTTCGTCTGATATCAGTCTCAGGTCGGCAGCGTTATCACGCACAGGTAAAAGAAGAGGCCTTAGGTGACCGTAAGCCGTCGGGACTCCTGCGTCGTATGCGTTCTCTCGTTGAGAACATGGCAATCGACGACACGTTCTTTAAGGATATGTTCTTAGAACGTCTGCCGACGTCGGTACAAATAATTTTGGCCTCCGGCTCAGATGACCTAGACATATCAAAGCTAGCGGAAATGGCCGACCATATGGTGGAGGCTGAGCGTTTGTCATCCCCGACGACTGAGCAACGCTGGCGGTGGACTGCTGCCTGGTAATGGAAATAGTGAGTGAGGTCGACGGTCGCAGAGCATATTTCTCCCAATAAACAGTCCGACGCGCCTGAGTCTATAGCGGTACGCTAGAAGCCGTTTCCTGGAAGGTTGCCAACCCACTGGACCACAGAGTCAGCTCAGGGAGTACTTGTGTGGAGGGGCCGATTGGTGAACTGAGATTCAGGTTGCAATGGTCTCTACTGCACTTCCACGGCGTGGGATGTTAGTCAACCTCCGCCTTTTGCTGTTGTGTAAAATCCTGGTCAGAGTGCGTTGGAGACCAGAGGGTATGGTGGCACGCCCAGTTTTCGCCGTGCCAGCTACCTGCGCACTCTTCCAGGTGGGGAAGGAGAGAGTGCGCTAGATCCAGCCCGAGTCCACCATCTCTATAAACTGATTCACGCGCAAGTCATCTTTCCTGTCCTCACCCTGCTGCGGAGCGCACAATGTGAAAATCGTCCGAATCGATGGATGAATTGTCGTAGGGAGGGGACAGTGTGAGTATGAGGGATGGGTGTGTTCCTGGGATTGTTGTTGAATGTACAGGCGCGGTGTGAGCTAGGAAGACGGTCTTGAGGGATGTTGGCCGGCGACTGCAGGCAACGATTACCATTCATCCGCAGTGGATTTGCAGGTGCCCGAACAGGCCGACCCGAGACTGGAACGCGGTTTCAGAGTGAGGGCGTCGTCCCCGACGATGGTGGTGGTGAGATCCTGAAGTTGATAATACTGATACTGTGGTGGATTTCAGGGTAACCGATAAGGCCATTCCATGCTGCAAATGTCATCTGACAATGCAAACAATACTGGCGACGCCGGTTCATATTTGCTTAGGCGGGCACTCTGGCGACGTAGTCGCTCCGAACGCATGTCCCACACGCACGGCATTTTTACCGTCGCTTCTGACGATGTACCCCACAGCAGGGTGGGCGTAGGGACGGCGACTTGTGCGCGAATCGGTTTACAGTAACGGCAGACTTGCACTGCATCAACCGCACTCACTCCGTCTCACCCACATGAGTCCGGTCTTAAGATGAAGCCAGGGAGGCTGGAGGCGGGATCGAGCCCAGGCGACTGGATCAACGTGAGCCTGCAGATGGGTGTGCCACTACACTCCCTGGTCCACACGCACACAGAGGACCAGGATTTCAAGCAAGAAAAGCAGGAGGCGGCTCGGATCGAAACTGAGCGGGAGCGCTATAAGGGCCACATTAGGAAGGAACCACCGCGACCTGACTCTCAATCCTGAGAGGAGGACCGAGATAGCCCACCGGTTAGCAGCCCTCCAAGTCACGGCTTTGAACGCGTCGGATTGTTTATAGTGACGAATATGCGCTGAGTGCTGCGGAGACGTAGTATCCAGGGTCGACCTCACTCCCTCTCTGCCTCTTCCTTTTTGCGGGCATCTGTCCACGGTCTGAGCCGATCAGTAATCTAATGCGGTTATTAAGCGCAGATAGACGGCGTAGCAGGAGCCTGCGCCTAGGCGTGTTGCCCCACCCCAAATATCTAGCACTGTGGGTTGCAGTCCCCCGGGGTCGACCTCACTCTCTCGCTCTCTCTCTCTGTCCTCTCCCAAACTGATCTGGACCAGTCAGCTGTCTGTTACGAAAATTAGACGCAGCGGCTGACAGGGGCTAGAGAGCCCGACTCAGCGTAACAAACACACTACCAGACGCCCCTCCCCACACAGCATATCAGGATTTCACATAAAGGGCGTGGACTGCCCGGAGCTCATATGTGTTAGCACAGTAGAGGGATCACATGGAGGATAGGCCAAGGAGCACTACTCTCATTCGCATGAGAGGTGTCATTTCGGTGTGAGGGACGGGTTCACGTGTGAGGTCAACATTGTGAAGGATGTTTTCGACTACAAGGACATCCACCGAGGCCAATTAGATACCATGATTTTACACGACAATGCCCCTGTCCATCGTTCTAAGGAAGTATGAACATAATAACGCTTCCAACCGTAAGCTGATTTTTTTATACAACAGTTAGCCTTCCAGCTGATGGCCAACAGTTGATTTTATCCCTGCCAACTTCCCGGATTTCCATTCCATCGAAAAAATTTCCGCACTTATCAACAGACATTGGCATAAGGTGAATAAGAAAATTTCAATGTAAGAAAAGTTTGATTTGTGCTAGATAATCACATTAAACAATCAATTATAGACGATCTGGCCACCTCCGTGTCTGAAAGACTTTCTGCTGTGATAAATGCAAATGCACAATCAACAAAGTACTAATCCTTTCTATTTGCTATTATTTTCCTAATTTCATGCGCTCCCTTCATTATGCAACCATATTTAAGCGTTTTGCAATATAGCCATTTTCTGAAATTCTAGCTTTCAGGGAAATTCAACTATTTTTGCGTTAGTAAATATTAATTTGATCAGAAGAAGAAGCGATCGCTGGAACAATGGCTTTATTCGCCTGACGTTTCGGATTCTCTCTTGAATCCATCATCAGAGACAGTTGCAGAAAAGGGTGGCTAGTGTACAGGAAGTCGCAGTATTTATAGGGTGCGGTCGCCATGCTACCGCATACCTACAGCAATTAACCGTGCTCCCTTCATCGAGGATTGTTGCCCGCTGGTGCGCTAATTGCTTGATGGCCGGCATGCAAGTTGTTAATTGTTGACATCTCATCACCCGTGTTGGATGCTGGCGTGATGATTGCTCGGCCATCTGGCTCACGTGCTTGCGCGCTCCTCGAGTGGCCAATTGCTTTGGCCAGTCTATGCCTCAGGACAGAATATGGAGTGGGGATGTCGTTGCACTTGTTGATAGACTGGGGTCCCGTGAACCATGACTCAAGCAACTCGCGGCTCACGCGATTATCCCCTCTCGCGAGAATTTCGGCCTCATCTAACTTGAATATGTGGCCGGGTCTCGTCGAATGGGCCGCGACCTGAGAGTTGGCGTCATTTCTCCGTACAGCTGCCACGTGTTCGGCGATTCGCGTCCGGAGCAGTCTTCCAGTTTCTCCGACGTAGTTGCTTTGTCCGCAACTGCACCAGATCCGGTAAACGACTCCAGATGTTTCTTGTCGTGGCAGTGGGTCTTTTGGTCTCATCACTTGACGCCTCATGGTGGCCTCCGGTCTGTGCGCAACTCCAACCCCAAGTGGTGCAAGAAGGCGGCTAACGGCCTCGGAGCTCGCAAGCACGTGAGCCAGATGGCCGAGCAATCATCACGCCAGCATCCAACACGGGTGATGAGATGTCAACAATTAACAACTTGCATGCCGGCCATCAAGCAATTAGCGCACCAGCGGGCAACAATCCTCGATGAAGGGAGCACGGTTAATTGCTGTAGGTATGCGGTAGCATGGCGACCGCACCCTATAAATACTGCGACTTCCTGTACACTAGCCACCCTTTTCTGCAACTGTCTCTGATGATGGATTCAAGAGAGAATCCGAAACGTCAGGCGAATAAAGCCATTGTTCCAGCGATCGCTTCTTCTTCTGATCAACTAGTTCCTGGAACTCGCATTTTCGCTTGTATCGGCAAATATTCATTTACGCACCCAACTATGTCTTCTCTTTAAGAACAGTTGTCTTTTTTTTACAGTCGTAAGACTTTGGGGAACGCAGTTTGGACGAATTTTGCAAACTCATGTTAATTCGGTGCTTATGGTGGGTGGTGAGGGATGGGTTCGCGTGTGAGGAATGTGTTGGTGAGGATTTTGATAGATGCGCTTGTGGTCGAGTAGGCCCATGCGGTGAATGAATGCACCTGGGCAATGCGGACAGTGGAGGCTGACACGCGAGTGCAGATCGGGGGCCCCTGGGAGACTTATTAATTACTTCTCCAGGCCAGACGTGGACAACTGTTCCACGCTCGGTACCAACCATCCGTACGTCATGAGCCGTACAAAGTGAGGTATATAAACATGACAAGTAAGCGTTTGACGCTCACTGTTGTGGTTAGGATCTCGGCCGATCCCATTCTGTCCGTCCGCCAGCTGGCTACTGACGACAACAAACGCAGTGTCATAGGATACATACCACGTATACTAGATAAGCAGCTCATTAAGAGTGCAACAGGCCAAACTTGTAGTGACTAAGCTGTGGGAGTGGTAACTTAGTGCGCTACAATAATCAAGTAGAATCCCATGTTGGAAGGAGAAGATAAAAGGCACCAGAATGAGGGGTTAATTATATGCACAGAACCCAGAGCTGTCCTCCCAGTTGGCAGTGGCCACTGGCGAAGACAGGACTGGTGTTGACTGCGTCCAGTCATGCCTGAGAGTCCCTGAGATAGTAGTGGCAGCCGCTTTTGTAGGCTCGTAGGTCCCAACCCC